CCACAATTACCACACACACACATACGCGCGCACACACACACACACCATCACTACCATCACGACCACATGCTTACACACAGCTGTACATTCCAGCACCACCACCACCGCCATCATTACGTGTGTATACACATACACCCCAGGGCAGTGCCCGAAATATTTTAGAGGGAAAAAGCAAGCAAATGACTGCACAAATTATGACATTAGTAAACTGGTATATCCAGAATAGTGAACTAGTTTATTCAATTACCACTGCGAATCCATTAATACATGACACAACTTATTTCAAGCCATTTTTCAAAAATTGCAAAATAGATTTCATTTCTTGATATTTCATCTCTATTGCTTTCTGCTTATCTTGCTCTGCATTTTTCTTCCATCTTAAATTACTTTTATTTTCTTTTATGGTCACTTTAATTTTCTATCATATTACATTTTAAGCCAATTGCTAGCATCATTAGGAAGAGATTCAGAATTTTCAAGGCCAAAAACATTATCTGCTATAATAATGTGAAATCTGTGTTACAGTAGCTCAAGAATACCTTCTTTCAATAAGAAAAAAATTGAACCTACTAGTTCAAATTTCAAATGAAAGATAACAAAATATCTTCCATGGACACTTCATTTATGATAATTAAAACATACATACATTTTACTGATAAACATTTTAATATATGCTTAGGACAGAACAATTTTGTCTAATTTGACTGATTTCCTCCTGGTCAATCATTTGGAGGACTTAGTTAAGCTTTAAGATAATCCTGCATAGAATTCAGAAACATATACATATGCATATGTGTTTATGTACACAAATATCTTGACATATCTGCAGGCTACAGTCAAAATTAAATGTTTCTCTAAAGCAGTTTCTAAGTGAAAGAAAAATTTATTATTTCTTGTTTCTCTTTTTAGACTTTATAAAATGTAGACAATAAAATTACCATTGCCCATATAACTAACATAATCTGATGTTTCTAAAATAGTCTAAACTAAAAGGTTTATACTATTTTATAAATATTATTTAAAATCTGTTTTTTCATGAAATTGAAAAGCTAAAAATCCAAACTCCAATAGAGAAAAAAAAGACTAAAAAATAAGAGATGAAGAGATGGAGTTACAAAAATACTCAATTGTATAATTTGAGAGGCTGCCATGAGAACCAATGAAACTACGGTAATAAATAGAGAAGGCTTTAGAAAAGACGCCAACATCCCAGGAAATGTGAATTGGCTGTGATGCTTACAAACTTGAGGCTTGAGGCCTCTCACTTACTGGGGATCCCTGTGAGTTCCAGGAGTTGCAGAATGTTCCAATTGCTGAAACAGGCCTAAATCTTCAAAGCTTCAGTGACTTGCTGTGATTTCTTTTCTCATTCCAATAAACCTTCACATTTGTATTTTATTCCGTAATCCTAATTTTGTATTCTTTTACTTAGAGTTCATTCCAAATACAGTTGTCAGAATTAGCAAATAAAATTCAGGACTCACGGTTAAATGTGAAAATCAGGTAAACAGTGAATAACCTTTTAGTTTAAGTATGTCATGAGTGATATTTGGGACATACATATATTAAAATTTCCTTATTTGTTTGGCTGAAATTCAAATTTAACTGGGCTTCAGGAATTTCTCTGGTAACTCTATCCCCAAATTATATATACTTTGGGCTTCATAAAACTTGAATCTACCAGATTTTCCTCCTGGGTAAGAAGTACTCAAAGAGGAAGCTTATGGGGTCATTAGAATCATTCTTTTAGAATCGGAAGAAACTTTAAGGAACCTCTAAGGTCAGCCCCTCAATCCCCTTCTTTGTAGATGGAGGAACCGGTGTGAGATCAGATGGCAGCTGGGCCTAGAACTCAGTGCCCCTGAGGCCCAGGATTGCACCAGGGCCAGAGGCTCCACTCTCAGCCTCAGCCTCGCCCTTGCCTGCTGAAAAAGCTCTTGTTCCTTCTCAGGCTGCTTGGAACCTCTATCTGCACGCTCACTGCAGGGCAGCTTCCAGAGGAAAGCTGTGAGTCAGCAGGGTTTGGCTTGGCTCTGCATGGGTCTGTTGTCTCCTCACCCTGACACACCAGGACACCCAGGGCCCTTGGGCTTATCTGACTGTCACTGATCTCATCGCTTTGCCTCTCCACCCATCCCTTCCTGTTCCTAGGCTGGATCTCTCCAGGTACCCTAGCAAACTCACCATACATGAAAGAGGCTGTGGAGGGCTGGTTCCAGGTAGCTGTTCCCATGATCATGTCTCTTTAACTATAGAGCCCTTTGAGAATCCACTAAAAGCTACACATTTCCTGGTTCCAAAGAGGTACAAGGCCACCAAGGCAATTTTGCATCTAATATCGAGTGACTCATAGATCTCCTAATGCCCTGTTTTTGGGCCCACGGGTTAAGCATCTCTGTATCACACCATGCTTATGCACTGATATTTACAAGAAGGTTGGGCCTTACCAAAACTGCCTGTGCACATATGCCCTAACATTGAAATATATGTCTTGAGAAACCCAGGACACTCAGCCCATGGTGGGACGCGTCTTGGAACACAAGAAACTCATTTATGGAGACAAGGGAGCACTACAGGCACTTCCAGAGGTGCTAAGTTGCATTTTAAATAGGGAACAATGTTTAGGAAACCAGAGAAGTTCTCTAATAAGGGACTCCAGGCCTTGAGAACAGGCTGACTGAAGCTGGGTGTGGTGAGGCGCGCATGTATTCCCAGCTGTTCAGGAAGCTGAGGTGGGAGGATTGCTTGAGCCCAGGAGTTCAAGGCTGCAGTGAGGTATGAGTATGCCACTGTACTCCAGCCTGGGTTCCAGAGGGAGACCTTGTCTCTTAAACAAACAAATAAACAAAAAATAGGCTGACTGAGAAATTTCCCTCTCAAAGCACTTAATCCCCACAGTGCCTGTGTAGAGTGCTAATAATAATGATAGTAGCTGCTCGCATTGACTAGATGCATTGACTAGTCGTTCTAGACAACTGTTCAGTATGTCACGGACACCACGCAAAGTACTTTGACGATACCTCTGTGAGGCAGGTATTGTTATTAATCCCTTTATTCAGGTGAGAACGTGAAAGCTGAGAGAGTTTAAATAGCTGGCTCAAAGTCAAGCAGGTTCAAACCCAGGAAGATATGAAGCCATCTCTCTCATGAAGACTTCCGTGAGGAGTCTGCAGTTGTCCCTTTGAAAGTTGAATTACGGCCTCTGGGTTGGAGACAGCAGCCTGCAATATCTGCTGTGCTCACTAGTCACTCTCCTTTTTTTTTTTTTTTTTCAAGTTTAAAAGCAATACAATTTTTTTTTAAATTATACTTCAAGTTCTAGGGTACATGTGCACAACGTGCAGATTTGTTACATATGTATACATGTGCCCTGTTGGTGTGGTGCACCTATTAACTCATCATTTACATTAGGTATATCTCCTAATGCTATCCCTCCCCCCTGCCCCCACCCCACAACAGGCCCCAATGTGTGATGTTCCCCTTCCTGTGTCCAAGTGTTCTCAGTGTTCAATTCCCACCTATGAGTGAGAACATGTGGTGTTTGGTTTTCTGTTCTTGCGATAGTTTGCTGAGAATGATGGTTTCCAGCTGCATCCATGTCCCTACAAAGGACATGAACTCATCCTTTTTTATGGCTGCATAGTATTCCATGGTGTGTATGTGCCACATTTTCTTAATCCAGTCTGTCACTGATGGACATTTGGGTTGATTCCAAGTCTTTGTTATTGTGAATAGTGCTGCAGTATGTTTATTGCGTCATTCTCCTTTTTTGACCTCTGGGCAAACATCTGGTGAAGCAAAAATCCAGTGATTGCTTGAGGGTGTTCGTTCTGGGAGCATTTAGGAGGGTGATTAGAGATATCTGGTCGAAACAGAAAAGTTTGCTTCCTTTTTTTATTCAAAGGTGTGTGGAATTTGCACAGCTTTTCTCTCCTTGAAATTTTATTTAAAAACAATTTCAGGTTGAGTATCCCTTATCCGAAATGCTTGGGACCAAAAGTGTCTGGATTTGACGCTGGGATTTTTTCAGATTTTGGAATATTTGCATATGTGTAATGAGATATCTTGGGGATGGGACTCAAGACTAAACAAGAAATTCATTTATGCTTCATATACACCTTATGCACATAAGCCTGAAGGTAATTTTATTTTTCCCTTAAGGACGCTGGATAACCTTGGGGCATGCACTTGTGTTTTGACTGCTGCTGACCACGTGAGGTCCAGTGTGGAATTTTCCACTTGTGGTGTTATAACAGCTCCCAAAAAGTTTTGGATTTTGAGAATTTAGGATTTTGGGATAAGAAATGTTCAATCTGTACTACAACAAAAGAGGTAGGGGACGGTCTCAGTGACAGAAGTGAATGAATAAGCCCTGGCATTTCAGAAACTTAAAAAAAAAAAAACAAAACACATATATCCCATCTTTTGGCCCAGTGACCTGAGCCAGCTGTTTAGGTGACAGAAAATACTAAACGAATTGTGATTTGGCTTGATCATCTAAACACGAATGTGATCCAGGAATAAGTCATCTCCAGCCCAGCCCCACCGTGTCATCTGCCAGATGTCCCTCACTGTAGATCCTCTCGGCAGAGACAGCTAATGGTCCCTCATTCCTGTTTACTCCTCCCTCATCCCAGCTTCCAGCCTCAGAATCAGGCTCCCCTGCAAGGAGCCCCCTGCAGCCCACTACAGCCTTAAGTGCTAGAAAAGCCGACCTCAACTCGGGTTCCTCACATTTTCAAAGAAGCAGGTTCCAAACCTGCTCTGTGTTTAGGGAGTTGTCAGGCTAAAACCCCCTGCTTATGGTCATTCCAGTGTACACTTCGTGAATTTAAACCTATTGTGAATTTAATGTGGTCTAATGAGCTTTGCTTAGGAAAAAACTGTCATTGGGTCACAGAATCACATTCGCTGCTCTCACCAGCCAGCTTTTAATTACATGCTTTTCATTACCAGGGCAACGAGGGGAGAGACTGAGTCCTCTGGGTGACCTCATCACCACAAACAGAAAAACAAGGAAAATAGCAGGCGCTCTGTCTTAGAGGGAGCATTACATTTATCTATGAAGCAACACATTTATGGGATAACTTTATCTTGATAACAGTGCGGGATGGTAGCTGCTTCTGGATTGGCCTTTGTTTCTTTGTAGACTTTGAACTGCTTGAGAAAGGAGACTATAAGATATATATTTGATTCTGTGCTCTTCCAACACACACACACACACACACACACACGCACACACACATTCCACATTATCTCATACACTTTATGCTGAGTTAGAATTTATTTGTTGTTAAACTGACTGGCATAGAAATGTTAAATGTTTCAGGAAAGAAATGGGCAGATTCGAAGCCTCAAGGGATCAGGAGTAGGGAGAAGCCACATTTCAGTTTCTAAAGAAGCAAGAGTCTGCCCTGGGACACGGAGAGGGCAGTTGGCCAATTGGAAGGAATACGTTTTGACATCAGAAGCAGTGGACCCCTGGCTCTCTGGGTCCCACCTGCCTCCCCATGCTTTTGCCAGCTCCGTGCACACTAGTCCTCCCTCCAAGGGTCAGAGAACCTTCTTTTCACTGCCTGAGACCTTCTCTGAGTCGTATGAAGCCTGCTTTGTCCACCTAGGAAGCAGCCCGGAACTTCCAGGAAATTAACGCCCCTGGGAGCAACTCTCAGCCAATGACTGACCACTGGTGTAAGTATTGGATATCTATGCTTCCTAAAAAACTGATGTGCAGTAACTCTGTAAAACACAACAGTTTTGTATTTCTCATGATTCTGTAGGTCAGAAATCTGGGAAGGGCTCAGCTGGCTTCAGGTCTCTGTGACCTCGGGTCAAGTGCTCAATTGCATTCAGCTGGCCCCTAGAGGATTTGGAGGGCCCAAGAAGACTTCCTTCACATGGCTGGCACTTGGGTGTTCCTCCCTGTGGCCGCTTTCTCTCTCTCTCTCTCTCTCTCTCTTTTTTCTTTTTTTTTTTTGAGACAGAGTTTTGCTCCTGTTGCCCAGGCTGGAGTGTAATGGTGCGATCTTGGTTCACCGCAACCTCTGCCTCCCGGGTTCAAGCGATTCTCCTGCCTCAGCCTCCCGAGTACCTGGGATTACAGGCATGCGCCACCACATCCGGCTAATATTTTGTGTATGTGTTTTTAAAATAGTGATGGGGTTTCTCCATGTTGGTCAGGCTGGTCTCGAACTCCCGACCTCAGGTGATCCGCCCACCTCAGCCTTCCAAAGGGTTGGGATTACAGGAATTAGCCACCACGTCTGGCCCCTGTGACTTCTTTCTCTTTACATAGTGTCTCATTTTTTTAGTAGATGAGTCTAGATTCTTTACAGGATGACAGCTGGCCTCCCCAGACAGCATGGAAATGGAAGCTTCTAGATGTCTCAGAATGGGCCCAGCATCCGTTCTCCTGATATGTGCTGCCTTCTACTGATAAAAGCATGTCACAGGCTAGTCTGGGTATGAATAGAGGAGAAATAGACTCCACTTCTCTTAGGGAGGAATGGCAGGCCCATGCATACAGGGCCGGGAGGAACTGCAGCCCTCACGTTTGGAAACCATCTTCCCTGGGGTGCCAGTATCTAGCTCCCTCAACCACCGGGCTGGACTAGGTTGCGGGGCATGCTGTGCACTGGCTCCGTAGCAGACGCAAGCGTGGGAACTCGCTGCCCTGCCTTTCCTGCCTGATCTCTTCCCTCCCTCAGCCATGCTTCTTGAGATCACTCCCAAATAAACCTGTTGAACTCAAAGCCTTTCCTCAGGGTCTGCTTCTGGAGGAACACAAACCTAGGCATGAGGGATCAGGAATATTTAAGGCACAAATGTGAAGCTCTCAGATTTCCAGTCAGTTGAAAGCTGTGAGTGGGAACGAGAGAAGATGAGGGAATCAGAACACCTTGCTCTTTTCCCTGATCTTAAAGCCCTCAGGATAAACTCTGTGTCTGGGTGTGAGGCAAGTAAAAGAAGGAATGTCGCCCACACCTCTTTCTCTCCCTTGAATGACATCCTGGGAGCTGGTACATGGGGTGCGTCCTCTTTAACATCCCCACCTTGGAAACAGCACTGCAAGTCACTCCCTACCGTGAAGTTCTGGAGATTCACTACAAACTCTGCTCTTACTCATCTTTAGGTTAAAAAGCGTATCTTGGCCGGGTGCGGTGGTTCTCACCTGTAATCCCAGGACTTTGGGAGGCTGAAGTGTGAGGTTGACTTGAAGCTAGGAGTTTGAGACCAGCTGGGGCAACATAGTGAGACCCCCCATCTCTACAAAGAAAGAAAAAGAACAAAATTAGCTGGATGTGTTGGCACAACCTGTGTCCCAGCTACTTAGGAGGCTGAGGAGGGGAGATCCCTTGAGCCCAGGAGGCCGAGATAGAGTGAGATGTGATCATGCCACTGCACTCCAGCCTGGGTGACAGTGTGAGACCTTGTCTAAAAAACAAACAAACAAACAAACAAACAAAAAACAAGTATCTCCCATCCAGTGCATGATGACTAACAACTGCCGCCTGTGATGCTGATGACAAGGGTTTGTTTTATTGTTTTAATCTCTGCAATGTGAAATGTAAATAAAACCCAATTGTACGATCCATAAATAATTGTCAATATTTCAGCAAACTTTTATATAAGAAATAAATCTCAATCCTGAGAAAACTAGCTCCAGGTGGATTGGGATGTTAGCTCTCAGGGACTTTGTTTGTCCCCAGCTGTGTCCCCAGGTGCTAGAGCCAGGACCCAGCATATAGTAGTAGGCATCTAATAAATATTTGTTAAATAAATGAATGTCTGTATTTTGGGAAGGGGTAACTAATGACAGGGATAACACTGTTGTCGCTTCCTTCTCATACCTCCCCCATCCCCACATGTCATTTGACAGGTAATATAACAGGGAATAAAGATGTGCTATAAGAAAACAGTATTTGAAGCATAGAAAAAACTGATATAGGCCGGGTGCGGTGGCTCACACCTGTAATCCCAGCACTTTGGGAGGCCGAGGCAGGTGGATCACAAGGTCAGGAGTTTGAGACCAGTCTGACCAACATGGTGAAACCCTGTCTGTACTAAAAATACAAAAATTAGCCAGGCGTGGTGGTGGGCACCTGTAATCCCAGCTACTCAGGAGGCTGAGGCAGGAGAATCGCTTGAACTCAGGAGGTGGAAGTTGCAGTGAGCCAAGATCACGCCACTGCACTCCAGCCTGGGTGACAGAGTGAGACTCCGTCTCAAACAAACAAACAAAAACCCCAAAACTGATATCTACATTATTGACATACAGGAAATAAACTGTTAAATACTTACTGTAACAAAATTTTGAAGTAAAAAATAAGAAAAGAAAGGAAGAAGAATATTTAAAAAACATGTATGCTAATACACATCTAAAAGAAAAGTTAAGAACCACCATTATTAAACAGGCTCATATTTTCTTTGACCTTGACTTTTTGAATTATACTCTGTAAATGTAATTCATTCACTTTTTGTAGAGAAAATGCAATTGTCATCTAAAAGTTGTGTGGCAGGAAAAATAGAATAGGGGAAAGAAAAAAACTGCCTCTGCACAAAATCAGGATAAAATATACATATGTTTATACCAGGTAGGTGAAACCCAAAAGTAGGTTATTCCACTTTGGGGCCCCTCTTTCCACCTACTTCTTTCTCCCAACTCCTCCCACTTCTTGAATATTTGCTCTTTTTTACCCAGGGTGCCATTCATTCTACTATCACTCATTGAATTCCACTGAGCACCTACTTTGTGGCAGGTGCACTCTGGGGCGGGTGCAGAGGTGAGCACAATGAATGGAATCCAACCCGCATGGAGCTTATTCGTTGGAGGGGAAGGCAGGTAAGAAATAATCACAACTATAATAATATAAGAAATAAATAGCAACGCCCTGTGATGAGTGTTGTGCTTAGGTCTGAGCTGCTAAACTCATTTGTCTATTTTTGACATTTGAACAAAATTCTATACATATTAAATTAAAATATATTTTATATATTAAAAGATTGTATTTCATAAAAAAAATACTCTTGGTTGTATTTGCCTCCCACTCTAGTTCCCCGTACAGGACTGGCCGGGCACCACCCAAAGGACTGACCCTTACCCTCCAGCTCCACCAAAATATTTTAATTGTATCACAGTTCCTTGGTTCAGTAGACCCCCTTATCCACGGAAATACGTTCCAAGATCTCCAGGAGACGCCGAAAACTGCGGATAGTATTGAACCCTATATACACTATTTTTTTAGATCAAATCGCCTAGACTAGGGGCCCCCAACCCCCTGGGCCATGGACCAGTGCCAGTCTGTGGTCTGTTAGGAACCAGGCTGCACAGCAGGAGGTGCGTGGTGGGCAAGTGAGCTTTACTGCCTGAGCTCCACCTCCTGTCAGATCAGTGGCGGCATTAGATTCTCCCAGGAACTCAAAACCTATTGTGTGGGAAAATTGTCTTCCATGAAATCGGACCATGGTGCTAAAAAGGTTGGGGACCACTGACCTAGATGACTACTAAGTGACTTGTGGGTGGGTAGCGCATACAGGGTGGACCCCACTAGACCAACGGGTGATTCACGTCCCAGTGGTCCAGAGTGAGATCTCATCATGCTACTCAGAACAGCATGCAATTTAAAACTTATGAATTGTTTATTTCTGGAATTTTCCATTTAATATTTTCTGACTGCAGATGCCCATGTGTAACTGAAACTGCAGAAGGCAAAACTGTGGATAAGGGCGTTATTCTGATTCTCTGATTAAAGAAACTATGCTGAGTCATTACTGGCTGACAAAGAGCTGTTTTGTTGACCCTTGTCTAGAGATGCAATAATATCATACCCCCCAAAAACGGATATTTAAAGGGATTTCAGGATCTAGCAAAGGACTGCCGGGAAGGAATGAAATGGTTGACGCCTTCCAAATAACATTTAAGCAGAAAGAGGTTCAGCCTACTTGTAAGACTGTTCTATGGTAATGCAAAACATTCCTTTAAGTGCTTCAGCTGTGCCTTCAGTAATAGCTTTGTGGTCTGAAAGAGATAACAGAGGCTTCCCAAAGGATTCACTTATGTGGTTTTTCTGCTGACGGGGGATTCTCTCTCCAATAGTTTCTATACAATGTACCTGCCAAAGCATTTGAAGGAAAGTATGACTGGTTGACAGAGCTAGGCTGTAGACTTTGACCGTGACCACAGAATGGAGACGCATTTCACATTTATTCTTTGCAAATCCCGAGGCAAAAATTTTCATCTTCCTTACTTTGGGCTCTATGAAATATTCTATTTGACTTCCTCTCCAACAAGCTGTCTACCTCACACTTCTAAATTCACCTCTCACATTCATTTCCTCTCAAAAGCTCTTCCTACGCCAAGACAAACTCTCCTGAATTGTGTTAAACCCTGCTTGTTACTCTGTCATGTCGTATTTTCCCCACAGAATGGCCTCAATCTCCCCATGTGATATGCTTGCAAATGCTTTCATGCTTGTTTATTTAATTTCAGTTCCAACTCCATTTATTACTATTGTTTCTACAGTGCTAAGTGCCTAATGCTACTCCTAATAAAGTGTAAATTAATGTTTTTGCTATCATACACGATTATTATACATCCATCATTGTCATTATCGTCATCTCTGAATGGAGGTGTAATCGTTAGAACCTTTTCAAATTCCTCCGCCTCATTTGTACTCACATAAAGTTTCTTATCATATTTATTTCTTTTTAAATAGCTTTATTGTTTTTGCAAAATTGCTGAGTGTTCATTGTAAAAATTCGAGCAACAGAGAAAAGTAATGAAAAAAGTAGAAATCACTCTAGATTCTACCATTACAACTTTAATGGCTATTCTTTTGGATATTATTTTATATTCACATGTAGATACATGTACATAATTTTACACAAATGAAGCATTACCATATATACTGTTTTATAAACTTTATTTGTAGTCAATTAAATATATTGAGCATCTTTCCAAGTGAATACATTTACTATAGTTATTAATCATTTTTAGTGTTTTCATAATATCATCATGTACATATTCTACCACTGTCCCCAACCTTTTTGGCACCAGGGACAGATTTCCTGGAAGACATTTTTTCCACAGACCAGAAGGGGGCAGAGGATGGTGTTGGGATGAAACTGTTCCACTTCAGATCATCAGGCATTAGATTCTCATAAGGAGCATGCAACCTAGATTCCTCGCATGCGTAGTTCATAGGGTTACCACACCTATCAGAATCTAATGCCACCACTGATCTGACAGGAAGTGGAGCTCAGGCCATAATGCTCGCTCACCACTCACCTCCTGCTGTGTGAGCCCATTCCTAAATGGTATCAGTCTGTGGCCCCCAGGGTTGGGGACCCCCACTATACACAACACTTTTCTATAAACATTTGTTGTTTCACAATTTTTACTGATCTAAACAATGATACAATAAAGATTCTTATGCATAAACTTCTTTGCACTTGTGGTATTATCTCCTAGGGCTAAATGCCTAGAAGTGGAACTCTCTCTAGGACAAAGGGTATGCAGTACTACACTTAATACATATTTTGATGCACATTGATGATTGGTTGTAATCGATCCACAGTGCATGAGAGTTTTCTATCTCGTCTTTTCTCATAACATCATCTCTGTGCCCAAAAATCTTTGGGGGAGGGGGCTGCTAATTACCAAGCTGGGGGAACAATACATCAGTAGCCATTTTAGACTGTGTTTTTCTCATCAACAGTGGGAAGGACAACACCTTTATAGTCTTGTCTTATTCTGCTCCTTTGTTTTCATCATCTGAATGGATGATTTTACTGAAACATCACACACAAAGATTTTATGACAGTCAATTTCTACGAGCACCTGCACCCATTCTACAGCATAATTCATACTTAATATAAAGTGACAGTTGTTAGCAGATTGCATTGGCATTCCCTTCAAAAAGACAATTGCTCAACAGGAATCATTCTGAATCGATTAATCAAGCCACAGCTCTGCTATAATGCTGTGGTATTCTGACATCAGGAAAAAGGAACTAGTACATTCTGAGCAATTTTTGCCCACATACTTTTACATTGCTGAGTTCATTAAAGCCATTAGGTCTTTGACAGAGATCTTATCCATCTAACATCCTCAGCCTCTTGAAATGGCTATGTGAAAAACTGGCTCATTTCCTCTGGTTTTTGTTTGCTAAAGTGGTTATAGTGAATTAAAAAATATAAATGCTTACAATGGGATTACATTCCAATAAACCCACCATAAGATGAAAATATCGTGCCAAGAATGGATTTACTACACCTTACTTACTGAACATTATAGCTTAGCCTCACCTATGTTAAATGTGCTCAGAACACTTATATTAATGTACAGTTGGGCAAAATAATTTAACACAAAGCCTCTTTTTATAAAAAAAATGTTGAATACATAATGTAATTTATTGAATACTACTGAAAGTGAAAAACAGAATGGTTGTGTGGGTACTTGAAGTAAGGTTGCTACTTAATGTGTATTGCTTTCGTACCACTGTAAAGTTGGAGAATTGTACGTCAAACCATCCTAAGTCAGGGACTGTCTGTACATATAGCTGACCTCAAACAGAATGAGTTGAACTTTGTGGGCCCACTTATATGTCGATTTTCTTCCACTTCCTGCCATCCCTGAGACAGCAAGACCAACTCTTCCTCTCCCTCCTCCTCCTCAGTCTACTCAATGTGAAGATGATAAGGGTGAAAACCTTTGATGATCCACTTCCACTTAATGAATAGGTTCTCTCTCTCTCTCTCTCTCTCTCTCTCTCTCTCTCTCTCTCTCTCTCTGTCTCTGTGTGTGTGTGTGTATGTATATATATATACAGTCTGCATATATATATACACACACACACAGAGAATCTCTCTCTCTCTCTCTCTGTTACCCAGGCTGGAGTGCAGTGGCTCAATCTCAGCTCACTGTAACCACCACCTCCCAGGTTCAAGTGATTTTCCTGCCTCAGCCTCTTGAGTAGCTGGGATTACAGGTGCCCACCACCATGCCTAGCTAATTTTTTTAGTAGAGAAGGGGTTTCACCATGTTGTGCAGAGTGGTCTTGAACTCCTCACCTCAAGTGGTCCGCCTGCCTTGGCCTCCCAAAGTTGAGATTACAGGCATGAGCCATCACACCTTACCTGTGAATAGTAAATATGTTTTCTTAGTAACATTTTCTTTTCTTAAATTTAAGAATATAGTATATAATATATATATGTGAATTTTTGACTTACTGGGAGATGGGTGCTCCTAATCCTAGTCCCAAGGGTCAACTGTAGATTTCTGTGATATGAATGTAATCAGATGAGGGTATAGTAACTCTTTAAAAATATAAACCTATTTCTGATGTGATTGTGGTCTTGGGAAATCGATATCTTAATTAGCTCTGAAATCTGCCTTAATAATCTCAGAAAAATTGGATTTGAAAAGGTATACAGAGGTGAAGAGATATTCTGGAGACGATAGCAGGAATTACAGTAATGGAGATAGATCAGGATCTCCAATTCAATGGAGTTTTATATTCTTTGGGGTTATTTTGAAGGTCTAGTGTCTTCATAATAATGAATTTTGTCTCTAGAATCTTGAAAATAGTCTTCTCTATGGGCTTTGACTAGCCATAGTTCCAACACTAATGACTAAGTCTCTTCTTTAGACATTCTTAATTCATCATTCCGGCATGTGGCCTAGACAGCGTTCGAAAAAGCTGACATAAAGCCAAGGTCAAGAACAACTGATTTAGATAAAGAAAGATATCTAAAATAAATGATTCGGTGCAAAGTGTTTTTGAAATTCCTTCAGTTTTCCTTGCATTTAATTCAATTCCAACCAGTTAAAATTCTCCCATTACTGTAATTACTTACATAACTTTTTTTTTTTTTTTTTTTTTTTTTTTGAGACGGAGTCTTACTCTGTCACCCAGGCTGGAGTGCAGTGGCGCAATCACGGTTCATTGCAACCTCTGCCTCCTGGGTTCCCACCATTCTCCTGCCTCAGCCTCCTGAGTAGCTGGGACTACAGGCACCCGCCACCACACCCAGCTACTTTTTGTATTTTTAGTAGAGACGGGGTTTCACCATGTTGGCCAGCGTAGTCTCGATCTCTTGACCTCCTGATCCGCCCGCCTCGGCCTCCCAAAGTGCTGGGATTACAGGCATGAGCCACCGCGCCCGGCCTACTTACATAACTTTTACACTTAAAAGCAGCTACATTACCCATAAATGAGGAGGATGGATTTTTCACAGTGATAGAAAACTATTACGGAAGTAATTTTCATGTTGCCTGTTGACAGGATGAAGCTAAGGTAGGAATTCTCTGACATTACTGTGCATGGGAATCACCTGGAGAGCTTATTAGAACTGATTAGCAGGCCAGGCTTCTACAGATTAGGGTTTCTAGGTTGGGAGAAAGCCGGTGAACTGCTTTGTCACAGGCACCCCAGGTGATGCTGATGCCAAGGAACCTTGGACCACACTTTGCTAACTCTGAACTGTAGGGGTCTAGACTCGCTGCAGACTGGATCATGGTCTCCCACATGGTGGACTTTGAAAGCCTTGGTAAGAGCAATTGAAGAAATGTCAGATCGTTTGAGCCTGGAAGGTCAAGGCCACAGTGAGCCATGATCATGCCACTGCACCCCAGCCTGGGTGATGCAGTGAGACTCTGTCAGAAAGAAAGAAAAAGAAAAAAGAAAGAAAGAAAGAAAGAAAGAAAGAAAGAAAGAAAGAAAGAAAGTCAGAAAGAAAGAAAAAAAGAAAAAAAAGAAAGATGAAAGAAAGAAAGAAAGAAAGAAAGAAAGAAAGAAAGAAAGAAAGAAAGAAAGAAAGAAAGGAAGGAGAGAAGAAGGAAAGGGAAGGCAATGGAAAGGAAGGGGAAGGAAGGAAGGAAGGAAGGAAGGAAGGAAGGAAGGAAGGAAGGGAAGGAAGGAAGGAGAGAAGGACTTCAGCATGCTTTATTGTATTTTCAGCCAGCAGGCTCATGCATAAGTCCTCACCTGTTCTTAGCAGCCTTCAAATAACTGCCTGAATCTCACTGTCAAGAAAGAATTACTTGAGAGAAAAAATCACATACTTACAGCTCACCTTTTTGAAAGGGTAGGAGATATAAGAATGAAGGAAATAATACACACAAGTATGGCATATGTACATTGATAGAAAAGAAACAGAGAAAAAGAAAATACACTTTTTTTTCTATTTGCCAATAGTAGGCAAGAAGGCAAAATTAAATTTAACTCTGGATATCTTTAGGTAGTACACTATTGGCAGAAATACCCATTCAAAATTGGTTTAAGCAAAAAACAAATGTATTGACTCAATTACCTGGAATTGTTTATGGGCAAAGGTAGCTTCAGGTACTCTCTGCTTCAGGCTTTAAGTATGTCACTTTGTTCTCTCCCAAGCCCCTCTCTCTTTTGAGTTAGCCGTAAGCCAGACTATATGTGGTGCTCCCAGTAGATCCAGGCTTTCTCCAGATGGTTAAAGCAGCTACAAATGTTAAATTCTCACATCATTAAATCTAGCTGAAGAGAGAGAATCTTTGCTTTCTATCTTTCCCAGCAGGCTTGCCAATATGTATTATTGACTGTGTAATATGAACCAATCACTATGGCCAGGGGTATCAAGTTTGCTAATTGGCTTAAAGGCCAGGGATATCCCATCACTGGGGCTGGGAGAGGACTCATCTCCATCTGGAAGCATATGAACTGACGGGGAATGGCTGTGATTTTCCACAGGAAAGTCTGTTTAGCAAACAGCGTGCAACATATGTGGTCTACTCAGGACACAAAACCTTGACTGTCCACTAGAAATAATGTGTGCTGAATTTTTTTTCTCATAGCAATGAGCATGCTTTAGAACATATTGAAACACTTCTGAATATTGAAAGAGCAAGAACTACCATAGATTTTGCCTGCACAAAAGAGGTGAGGACTGAAACAAAGGATTATATGCTGACGACTCAGCACTGTGACCTGATCTTGACCTCCCTGAGCAAATGTGAAATTAATTTAAATTTAGCAAGAGATAGGATTTATAATAACTAAAGGTTGCCTGTACCTCAAACTCCAGAAAACATAAATTGGCATTTCTGTAGATATTTTGAAGCACAAAATGTGCACAGAATAATAAGTGGTTATTGTGTGAAAGAAGAGAAGTTTATCGAATTTTCACATATTCCCTGCTCCCTCAACCTCCCACCTTCCAAACTTTCTTCAGAAGACAATCAAAAACAATGCATCTTTTTTATAAGTTTTTTTTCAACCTACTTTCAGCTGTCATGTAGAGTCCTCTGTCTCATCTCTGTCTGCATTGCTTCCCTTTGGTTTTGAAATTTCGCTTTTGCTGATGAACAATACAGTTAGGAGTTACTAAGTTCCATTAATCATTCTAAGAGTGATTTACAGACTTATAGCATATATGCTTACATATACCTATTAATACATTATAACACAAGATAAAAATAAGTAAACGTGATTTAGTGAAATAAAAATAAGTTGAAAAAGTCAAGTCAAGCCAAGTTAAAGGAGAGATCAATCTATAATATGTGGGCCATGAGAATCACCATAGTTTGTAGAAGTCCATGGATGTAGCTCTGAGCTTTCTAGCAGCTAATACAGAGAAAGATGATGTAATGATTATTTATCTCATTCATAAAATAATTAAGGTCAAGACACAACTTTCCCTGGTACTATGTCCCCAACAAATTTCCTCCTGTGGGTCTCTGGAAAGACCTTGTGTGATGCAGTGAATGGAGTCCTCAGTTAATCAAGAGTGTGTCCAACATCCAGTTTCATAGATTTGTTTCCCACAATGCAAGGCATGCAGGTTGATGCCACAATCTTGAAAAAAAACTCTATTCAAAGAAGTTCTATGGTGTTAAATGGGAAGGACAAGGAGAATGGAGTCCAGCTTTCTGATGGTCTGGCTTAATTCTGAAGAAGGTTTACGTTACTTGGAGAAATGAATGGATTTCACATACTTTAGGCAACATTTGGTAAATAGTGCTTCTTTCCCCGAACTTTTGCTAGCATTGAGTATCAGTGATTTTGAAGCTAGTTATATTGTCAAACTCCTCAAAAGAGTCCTGGAATATTTTGCTTATTAAATATAGTTCTATATACTTCAGAAGATAGCCTAGCTGATCATTGGGTTGATATTTTCTATGAACATTAAAAAATCTGTTGGAAAGCTAGCTATTTCAGCCTACCTCTGTGAGCCAAAATATTCCCTAAAAAATATTTTGGTAGTGAAGCTTCTTTCTACTGATATGAGCTTTATGAAAAACTTGAAGGCAGTTTTTAAAAAATGCAATGCATAGGCTTTCAATTTAGCTTACAAATCTTATTCTATTTTTAAGTCTAGTAAATTTTATCAGTTATTTTTAAGGGATTTTAAAATTCAGTTTGGTCATATTTACAGATTTTGCTAAAATGTTTAAACCTTCAAGTGTTTAAAATTTTATTTATAAATTTGACATGTTTAATTTTGTTTTATAGGACATGTATTTCAATTTTCTCAACAACAGCAATAAAATCTTTCTGAGCATTTAAGTCTTATATATTGTAAAATTTCCAATACTAAACTAAACTTAGTAAGATTTTAGTTTAAAATCAGAAGTCTACAATGAGAATTACAAAACACTGTTCAAATAAATCAGAGAAGACACAAATGGAAAAACATCCGATGCTCATGGATGGGAAGAATCAATATCACTAAAATGGTCATACTGCTCAAAGAAATGTACAGATTCAATGCTATTCCTATCAAACTACCAAAAACATTCTTCAAAGAACTAGAATGAGGTACAATATTTGTAAGCTATACATCTGACAAAGGTCTAATAGCCAACATCTAGAAGAAACTTATACAAATGCATGAGAAAAAAACAAAGAACCCCATTAAAAAGTAGGCAAAGGACATGAACAGACAGTTTTCAATAGAAGACATACACGCAGCCAGCAAGCATACGAAAAAAGCTCAATAGCACTCATCATTAGAGAAATGCAAATCAAAATCACATTGAGATACCATCTCACACCAGTCAGAATGGCTATTTCTAAAAAGCCAAAAAAATAACTGATGCTGGCGAGGTTGTGGAGAAAAAGGAACACTTATGCACTGTTGGAGGGAGTGTGAATTAGTTCAACCATTGTGGAAAGCAATATGCCGATTCCTCAAATAGCTAAAAGCAGAATTACCATTTGAACCAGCAATCTCATAACTGGCTATATACCCAAAGGAATATGAATTATTCTACTATAAAGACACATGCACGTGAATGTTCATTTCAGCACTGTTCACAATAGCAAAGTCATGGAATCAACCTAAATACCCATCAGTGACAGATTGGATAAAGAAAATGTGGTACATAGACTCCATGGAATACTATGCAGCCATAAAAAATGAGATCATGTCTTTTGCAGGAACATGGATGGAGCTGGAGGCCATTATCCTCAGCAAACTAATGCAGGAACAAAAAAACAAATACTGCATGTTCTCACTTATAAGTGGGAACTAAATGATGAGAACTCATGGACACAAAGAAGGTAACAACTGGGATCTACCTGAGGGTAGAAGGTGGGAGGAGGGGGAGGAGCATAAAAGACAACTATTAGGTACTGGGCTTAATACCCAGGTGATGAAATAATATGTACAATAAACCTCCGTGACACTAATTTGCCTGTGTAACAAACCTTCACATGTACCCCTGAACCTAAAATAAAAATTGAAAAAGAAAAACAGAAGTCTACCTCAGTTACTTATTTACATGTTTCAAATTGGAGTTATGAGATTATCATTCTATTAGGCCACATTCTCTTAAACATTACATCAATATGAAATACTAAATATGCACAGAATCCTTCTCAATCTGGAAATATTAAACTGTGGTTTTGACTGTGTAAACCTTTCTATACCATTTTTTCCCCCAGGCTAAAAGAGTCATACACTTTAAAGAAGACAAATACCATCCTAGTTTACTGAAGTTATTCTGGCTAAAAATTCCATCTGGACATTTGCCTCAAAGATACCATCACACTCACTTTTTCCTCTCAATATATTATAAAAAATTTTAACTGTACTATTAAAAGACTTGTACAGTGAACACTCGTATACACACCACCAACACTCTACTCTTAACATTTTACTACACTTGCTTTATCACCTTTTTCCTTCATCCATCCCTCTGTCCTCCAACCAACTCATTATTTTCATGCATTTTAAAGGAAATTGTAGACACAAATGTACTTCCTCCTAAGTATTTCAGCAGACATAATATTAACTACAGTTCAATATTGATATACAGTTTCTTCTTTTGATATAAAATTAACAAATCAATCAAATGCAAAGTTTGAAACGCACAATCACCAAGTTCTGACCACTGGTCACACCTGTATAACCAAAACTATGATTAAGATATAAAACATTACCATCTCCCCTTAGAGTTTCCTCATGTCTCTTCCAATTCCTTCCCCCACCTGCAGAGACTGTTTTACCTTTTTTCCACCATAAATTAATTTTGCTATTTCTAGAGTTTATTATTAGTGGAATCAGTCACTAATATTAGTAAAGCCAGTATGTACTGCTTTGTATAAAACATGTTTCATCCAGCATAATGCTTTTGAGACATATCCATGTTGTTGCATGTATCAATAGTTTTTCTTTTTATTGATGAGTATGCATATACCCTTGTATGCATATATTCCAACTAATCCATTCACCTATGGATCCATCCTGGACCATTTCCAGGTTTCAGTTAGTGTGAAAAAAGTTGTGAACATTCTCATGTAAGTCATTTTGCTGATTACTGAGTCTCTTTTAAAGTTTACTATTAATATATCATGGCATGCAAAGCTTAAAAAGATACTGGTCTTCTAAGTACATCTTCCATCAATATATGTGAACTCAGAGAAGCCTGCAACTCCTACCCAGAATGGATAGTTTTACATTTTCTTGGCTTTTATTACACATTCATGTATTTTCCTTTTCACTCTGAAGACTTTTGATGATAGAACACTAATATAATTAAAGTGCAATTTGTGCCTGACTTAATGGAATATTGAATTATTTCATATTCTTAGGATAGAACTCATAGGAATAATAAGAAATGGAATCCAATGGCTTTATCTGAGTTGGAGGTCAGATCCAATAATCTATTAATGAAAATAAATACATTTCTAGGAAACAAAATAGTCTAAAGATTTTGATACGGCGGAACTGCTGCTTATTTTCACTTATTTCACTTGGGGTGGAAAATTTTTATGTAAAATATTGCTGTTAATCTGTTAGTATTTGTTTTTCCTTTGTTTCTCAAAACTAGACCTCTTGAGTTTTAGCTGAGCTGGGCTCACCCAAAATAAAAACTACATTTCTTGGCCTTTTATGCACCTAGGTGTTTTCACATTATTAAATTCTAGTCAATAGAATAGAAGCTAAGTGTTGTAAGTATATGTAACTTCACTGCATAGAGGGGAAACCCCAACAAAACCGGCCAGTTACAGTGAGTGGAGGAGGCAGAACTCAGTGTTCCAGAAGGCTGAGGTGAGTAGAATTTGTGAGTCGAGTATCAAGAAGAACTACACACATGAGCATCTCCAGAGAATCTGCAGAGCACTGCACTGGAGTCTCTCATTGAGTTCCGGCCAACACCTGGGTGGTGTTCAAACTCCATGAGGCCAAGGAAAGAACCACTAGAAAACAGTAAGCCAAATGCTTCCCGGAGTTCATTCACACAAGGTTGGGAAAACACTGCATTATCACCAGCCAGAAAGTAGAGACCTCATAATGTAAGGGTTATTTGTTAAAGTTTTCAGAGGAGTCATGTCTTAGTACAATGACTTAATTAGCCCTAGAGTAAGAGTTGCTCCATATCCGACCCAAAATTTGCTTATAAAGAACATAAACAGAACAGATGTGCAAAAAGTTTTAACAACATGCCACAGCAAAGTCCAGCACTCTTTACAGAAATAAAACAAAATCTGAAACTCAAAAATGTAAAAATCTAAAATGTCTAATATCTAACCAAAACTTAAGAGGCATGCAATGAACCAAGAAAGTATGACCCAGAACAACACAAAAGCCCCCAAACAATAAAACACAATAAAATCAGCCCAAGAAATGACAGAATTGATGGAATTAGTAGACAAGAACTTTTTTTAAAAAGGCCCAAATGGAATATATATATATACCTATAACTTCATCTTAAAAAATTCACTGGAAGGAACTAATTAAACTTGTCCTTCCCCTAAAAAAAAAATCAGTAAACTTGAAAACATAGCAAGAGAAATCATTCAAACTCAATTACAGAGAGAAAAAAATTTGAAAAAATTAATAGACAGTGACTTTCGGAAAGATATAAAGCATTCTAATATATGTATATTTGGGGTCTTGGAAGAGCAGGGCCACAGAGGGGAGGATGTCAAAATATTTAAACAAAGAATTGTCAGAAATGTTACAAATTTGATGAAAACTATAAACCTACAGATATAAAAAAGCCCCTAAAATATTAAGTAGAATAAACATAAAAATAACGACACTAAGAACATGATATGCAATTACTAAAACACACTGACAGAGAAAAATCATAAAAGCAGGCAGAGAAAAAAGACATTATATGCAGAGCAACCAAGATAAGAACGATTGAATTCTCATCAGAAACCATGTAATCCGGAATACAGGGCACCGATATTTTTAAAGTACTGAAAACCAAAAACCTATCAAACCAGAAAAAGCAAGTTAGGGTTTTCAGTTTTGCATGTAAGATAAGAAGCTTGGAAGTTGCCCGTCTGCCCTAACAGCATGTTAAAAGCTGAGCGTACTGAAACATTAACAACTCTTCTAGGATCTGAAAGAGAGGTGAGGACATTATTCCCATGACTGGAGTGACAGACAGACAAGTGCAGGGAGTCACAGTTTTTCCAGAGCAGAGACTCACCCGTGGAAACCACTGCGGGGATCAGTACTGGGGCAGAAAAAACTGAGCTCTAATTTACAAATTGCTGCAGGATCAGGGTGAACAAACCTGAGAGTTAAAAACTCCAGAGCAACCCAGTCTAGAGTGACTACCAAATATTTGTGAGTTTCACCTCCAGGAGCTTGATCAGATTCTTACAGAAAATATCAGAGAAGAATCTCTTCATGCTTTCAGCAGGGGGTGAGCAAAAGGAACCATTTAAAACTATGCCAGAGCAATCTGTTCTTCTTAACGAGGGTTACCCTGGGGAGAAACTAGTTAACTAGAGCCTCACCTGCTGGGGTATTGTCAGAGTCTAACTGACTTGGGGGAAGGGACATACCCAACTCTGGTCAACTCTAACCTTCCATGTGAAAGAAGGAAAATACCCAATTCCAGCTCACTCCATCCATTCTCTCCCACCTAAGAGGGGAGAAAAAAAAAAAACTGAGAAAAACTTGAGAAGTTCACAGTTGAGACACAGGTTGAGTGAAAGACTGAAACTTAATCATAAGACTATAAAAGAACACTTTCTCTGTCCCAACACATTAATAAAGCTTATTTATAGCAGTTCCTTTTACCTAGTACATCATGTCTATCAGTAAAAAATTACAGTGCATATTAAAAAGCAGAACCTCCCTCCCCCAACCCCCCCCAAAAAACAGACATGCACATACACACACACACACACACACACACACACAATTTGAAGAGACCAAGGAAGCCTCAGAACCAGACATGGAAAGGATTTTGGAATCATCAGACCAGACATTTAAAACAATTGTAATTGATACACTAAGGGCTGTAATGGATAAAGTAAATAACACGCAAGAACAGATGGACAATGTGAGCAGAGAAATGGAAATCCCAAGATAAGACCAAAAATAAATGTTAGAGATCAAAAACACTGTAAGAGGAATGAAGAATGCCTTTGATGGGCTTACTAGTAGATTGCACTAGCCGAGGAGAGGATCTCTGAGTTTGAGGACATATCACTGGAAACCACCAAAAGTGAAAAGCAAAGAGAAGAAAGACTGCAAGAAACAAAAACAGAATATCCAGGGACTGTGGGACAATTACAAAAGGAGTAACATATATGTAATGGGAATATCAGAAGGAGAAGAAAGGGAAATAAATGGAAGAAATATTGGATACGAAAATGACTGAGAATTTCCCCAAATTAGTGTCAAACACCAAACCACAGCTTCAGGAAGTGAACAGAATAAGAAGCAGGATAAATGCCAAAAAAACACACTTAGGCATATCATTTTCAAACTATAGAAAAATCAAAGATGAAGAAAAAAATTCTGAAGGAAGCCAGAGGGGAAAAAATACCTTACCTATAGAGAAAAGAAAATAAGAATTACAGCTGAGTTGTCCTCAGAAACCATCCAAGCAAGAAGAGAATGGAGTAAAATATTCAAAGAGTTCAGAGGAAAAAACCCACCAGCCTAGAATTTTGTACCCTCTAAGATTCTCCTTCAAAAGTGAAGGAGAAATACTTTCTTAGACAAACAAAAATTGAAGGAATTTGTTGACAGTAAACCTGCTTTGCAAGAAATGTCTATTTTCTTTCACCACTACACAACATATTCATGTAACAAATGTGCACTTGTACCCTGTAAATTTATGCAAATAAAATCTTTTTAGACAAAAATATAAAACTTATCATAAGCAAAAAACAAAATAACATTGTAAGTAAAAAATATTTTATAGAAAAGGTAAACCATACAGGTCAGAAATTCAGATCCA